TCAGCCCTTCAGGGGCTTGTCGGGGGGGCTGCCCGGGCTGTCACTCCTCTTCCTGCGCAGGCTCTCGATCCAGCCGGAGCCGGAGCGCGTGGCGAAGCCGGCCAGCCCCAGGGAGCTGAGCCGCATGTTCTTGCCGGACATGATGAGCTCCCCGAAGCCCTCCTGGTGGGCGAAGGCGTAGCCCGAGCGGCGGGAGCTGGTGCGGCCGGGCCTCCGCGTGCGGTGGTGCTGGGCCCTCTTCTTCCTCACCAGCTGGCTGTAGCGCACCTGGGGGCGGGTGGCGAGGGGCCGCGTCGGGGGCGGACTCCTCGGGGAGGGGGCCCGGAGCGCCCAGGACAGAGTGGGGGAGGGGGGGATCTCTCGGGACCACCACGCGGCCGGGAGTGCGGGCACTCGAGCCCGGGGACTTTCTGACACGGGGTCCCAGCCCCAAGCAGACAGCCGGGCGCTCACCGTGTCAGAGAGATCGGGCTTCAGGCTCAGCTTGAGGAAGCGAAAGGCGACCACAGGCAGGATGCAGACGACCGTGGTGAGCGCGATGGTCAGCCACACGGTGGGCTGGGCCAGGCTGCTCTGGGCATTGCCTGCGGACGTGGGGGGCCACAGGCAGACGAGGGGCAGCCCGCGTCAGCTCCGGAGCCGTCCCCGCCGCCCAAACGTGTTTCCCCAGAACCTCGGACCTCCACCGGACGCCTCTGCTGCCGTCTCACGGCCCCCCTGCACCCCCACCCCTACGCCCTGCTCCAGGGCCTCCCGGCTCAGGAGATGCCACCACCCGCTCAGCTGCTCCAAAAGCCCCGAGTCAACCCTGACTCCTCCCTCGGACGCCCCCGTCCACCTGGGAAGGAGGCCGCGGCCGCCTGCCTCCCTCGCGCCCTCACCCAGATGGTCACCAGAGCCTTGCTAACTGGTCCCATCTCCGCCCTTGCCCTCTGTCATCCACGAACCGGTAAGAGCCGCCCTTCAAAGCACCATCGGGTCTCTGACGCTTCCCCGCCCCTAACCCTCCAGTGACCTCCTGCCATATTTCAATTATAATTCAAACTCCTGACCCTGAACTAGAAGGGCTTAACGATCTGGACCCATTCTTACCCCCTGACACACACAGCCAGGTCCTGCCCGCCAGCCTCCCCTCTGCGGCGGGGACCCCTGGGGAAGCCCCCTCCCTTCCGGCTTCCTCGTCCTGGCTCTCTCCCCCCAGCTCTGCCCCCCCTTTATTCACACTTCTCTGTGCCGGTGTCCCTTCTCCAAGGTCTTCCCTGACCGTCCCTGTCCCTCTCCACCCTCTTACTACTTCTACATGTTTTATCTGTTGATGTGTAAGCTCTCGTGTCTCTCACTGAAACCATGAAAGAAATCCTGAAATCCAGAAATCTCACTGAAATCCATGAGAGAAAGGATGTTGCCTGTTTCTGTCAATTCCTACAGCAGGTGCTGACTAGATGCCCCCGGGACAGACAAAATCCCCAGCACCCGGGAGAGTGGGAGGCATACAGCAGGTGCTGACTGGATGTCCCTGGACAGACAGACGGATAGACCCCCACCACCAGGAAGAGTGGGAGGCATACAGCAGGGCTGCCCCTGGGACGGACGGACAGACCCCCAACACCCGGGAGAGTGGGAGGCATAGAGGAGGCGCTGACTAAATGCCCCCTGGACAGACAAGATCCCCAGCACCTGCGAGAGGGGGAGGCACACAGCGGGTGCTGACTGGATGTCCCCGGACGGACAGACGGACAGACCCCCCAACACCTGGGAGAGGGGAAGGCACACAGCGGGTGCTGACTGGATGTCCCCGGACGGACAGACGGACAGACCCCCAACACCTGGGAGAGGGGGAGGCATACAGCGGGTGCCACTGGCCACCACACTGCTGTTTCTACAGCACGCCCCTCTCTTTCCTCACAAAAACAACAGAAAAAAGCTCTTGGTAAGTCAGAAGCACGTCTGACAGCCTGACGATCCATCCGACACCTCGGATGTCCTACCTTTCCAGCCATTTCCGCTTCTGGCATTCCGGCCTAGGATCAGAACCCACAGCCCGGGCTCCGCTCTACCCACAGCAGCCTCCTCCGTGGGGCTGCCCCTGACCACCCCGTGCAGTCGTCTCGCTGACCTGGAGGTCGGCCCCTGCTTGACCCTGACCTCCCTCTGAGCCTGACCCCGCGCGGCCTGGTGGGACCACTCCTCACTGTCACGCCCTCTGAGGGCCGGGCCTGCGTCGGAGACGCCTCGCAGAGCGCCTCGCACACAGGCGCTGGACAGACGCCCCGTTGGTCTGGAACAGCCGGCCCCCCCCCGGACTCCGACAGCAGCCCTGGGGACTCACCCACGAACCGGAACTGGTTCGGGAACATGCGGAAGAGCCCATCGCTGTGCATGGCGAAGAGAATGGCGAAGTAGACCGCCAGGCTGCCCCAGATGAAGAAGTGGTTGATGGCCGTCCAGTAGCCCGTGTCCAGCCCGATCTGCGGCAAGCAGCGGTCACAGGCAGGCGGAGCATGCCCCCGGGCCCCTCCCCGCCCAGGGCAAGCCCCCAGGTGGGAGCGGGGGCGGGGGCGGGTCGTGGGTCCCGGGTCCCCCCCACCCCCACCTGCACGCTCACGACGATGACCAGCGAGGTGGCCACGGTGACTGCGAAAGACTGATAGTCGGCCAGTTGGGCGCCGTCATCCCGCGCGGCCTCGGCAAACACCCCGTAGGGGAGGAAGAACACGAGCACGGATGCGTAGATGCCCTGCGCGATGCAGATAAAGAACTCCCGCTTGTTGAAGAGGAGGTTGAGCTGGCCCGGCTCGTACAGCTTAGGGTACTCCATGCTCCGCTGCTCGGGGACGTCCTGCAGGGCAGGCCCGGGAGGCCTCAGGACGGGAGAGGGCACAGCGCGCCTCGGCCCCCGCCCTTCCAAATTCTTCGCCCGAGAAACTCCACCTCGAGCCAGCTGTCCCCCGCCCGTCTTCGTCCAGCACCCCAGGGGGTCACGGGCCACTGCGGCCAAGCGCGAGAGCCGCCTCCCGAGGCACCACAGGCAGTGGGGACACGTGCTGCCATCCGCGCAGTCCCTCCCCGCCCCGCTGGATACCCCGGCCCCCCTGACCTGGTCGAAGACCCCCATAGCCAGGACCGGAAGGGAGGTGTACACGATGTTGTAGAGCGTGATGAAATATTGGTCGTAGACGGTCTGCAGAGAGAGCAGAGGGCAAGAGAGGCGTGAACAGTAGTCTCTCTTCAGCACAGATCAGGCAGAAACAGGATGCTGAGCGGCACACAGCGCCCATGGAATTTTCTGGAACCTGTCTCTATTCCCTCGACAAACGTTGGTTTTTGTTTTGTTTTAAGCAGGCTCCACACCCAATGGGGGGGGGGGGGCTTGAACTCACGACCCCGAGATCAAGGGTCAAGTGCTCCGGCTGAGCTGGAGCCAGCCGGACCCCCCCTGGACAACCAGACGTGAGCCAGACAACAGCCGGGCCCTAGGGGGACTGACCGACGGACAGGATGGAAGGCCTGTGCCCCGAGGAGCTCAGACAGGTGAGCAGCAGGCCCCTACCTGGGCTGAGAAACCACAGAAGAAGCCAAACCAGAAGTGGACCATGGTGAAGGCGAAGTTCTTGTAGAAGAAGTAGCAGAGGAACTTGCACATGCGCAGGTAGGACCAGCGCCCGTGCACCAGCAGGAGGCGCTGCAGGAACTTGAACTGGGAGAAGGAGTAGTCGGAGGCCAGCACCGCCTGGATGCCCTCCTGTCCGCTGATGCCCACGCCAATGTGGGCCGCTGCGGGGACGAGTGGGGACGGGGTGGGGGGCAGAGGCCACACGTTCAGAGTCCCTGTAACGGCGGACCGCCCCCCCCCCGCCCCCACCCCGTTTGCACATCCACACTCACTTTTGATCATGCTGACGTCGTTGGCTCCGTCCCCAATGGCGAGGGTCACGGCCTTCTTGTGCTTCTTAACCAGTTCCACCACCTGTGCCTTCTGCAAAGGGGTCACGCGGCAGCAGATGACGGCCTTGCAGGCACAGGCCGTCTCCAGGAACTCCAGCTCCATGTCTGCCTCCAGCGCGTGCGCCTGCAACACAGAGCCTGAGAGAACACGGTCCTCCCCGGGGGACCGGGAGCCACTCCTCCCAGCCCATAAAGGCCACGGCCCTGCGGTGAGGTCAGGGGCGTGACCACAAGGGACAAGGGGAGACAAAGCAGGCGCAGCAGCCGTGCGGGGAGAAGCGCTCCCTGGGAAGGCCTCCCCGACGACGCACGGGGACGCTCACCAGGCTGTGCCCGTTGATGACCAGGGCGTACTCCCCAGCGACAGCCTCCAGGACAGACGTGAGCTTGGAGGAAGGACGTTTCTCCTGGCAGGTGAAGCCGTTCCCCACGGTGTGGGGTGAGTCCATCATCTTCTCCCGGGCTTTCCTGGGGGGTCGAAACGCAGCTGTGGGCTTCCGGGACCGGGGCAGGGCCTTGGAAGTGGGGGACCTCTGCCTGCCGCGGGCCTCCGGCTACCTGAGCTCCTCCCGCACTTCCAGAACAGTGTGGCCGGTGACGACGAACACCTCCGTCACATCGTCCGTCAGCATCTTGCAGGAATAGCCGATGTTCACAGCCGTCTCTACCAACGGAGAGGCCGACGAGGTCAGCACCCTGTCCGGCCTGAGGTCTGACTTGCGACAGGCCTGGTGCTCCCGACGTAGTTTCCTATGCCTCTCACCTTGCTTGTCCCCGGTCAGCACCCAGATCTTGATGTTGGCCAGCGTCAGGAGGGCAATGGTCTCCGGAACCCCTTGCTGCAGCCTGTCCTCAATGGCCGTGGCACCCAGCAGCTGCAAATCCCACAAGGGGCCCTGACGGGACAGTCCCAGGCACGAGCCCTCCC